AGTTTAGTAAATAACACTATTATTTATATCTTGCAACACCCACCTCCCACCCTCCCAAAAAAAAGAATACTGAGGAAAAACGCCTGCCCTGGATTAGCCTTAAATATATTTTGGTGGCTATTACTCTCTAACTACAGCCCTCTCTCTAATCTGTTGAATTCCCCCCTCAATTGGTTAGACACTTGGTTAGACCAGCAGTAATACAGATAATACATTTAAATTAAACATATGTTTACAATTAAAAAAAGAAGAAGAATCTAAAATGATACATACCTCTGAATTTCCCTTTGCTATCTGCAAATCAAATCTGCATTTTCTACAGGGATCCAAAAGTGGTTGAAATTGATCAGCCAATCCTGGCTCTTGATTTGTTTTAAATGGGAACACTGTATATACACCTTAAACCTGTGTCCATGCATATACATATTTCACCAGTTGTGTTCATCTATAGTTTTATATACTGTGTATGTGTGTATATATATATGTGTGTGTGTATTTATGGAAGCATTACAAAGTGGGGTACATAGTAGTTTCAGATATTTTAATAAAAATGCAGCAATTTGAAGTTAACAGAGTAAAGGTGTACAATAAACTTGCACGTAACTAATGTAAGGAGAATAGGTGATAAAGGTGCTTGGAGTGCCCCTCTGAGACCAGTAGGGTGCAGACTAATCTTGAATTAACCAGCTATTTGCTTGTATTTATTATTGTCATCTTTGAAGTCGTATTGTGTACCTCCAAAATCTATTGTAAATGCAGGGCATTTAAAAAAACTCAGTTTGAGAGACAGAAAGAAACAAACAAACCTACATTCAAACAGAAGAACCTCAGCATATGAGATAATATTCACTTAGTGGAATGTCTTTTTTTCACAGTGCACCTAAAAGGCAGTGGCATTTGTAACTGAACAAATAAAACAGTGTTGGCACCTATGTAGAGCATGATTAGCACAGGGTAAAGTAAAAACGTGACAAACAGCCAAGTTAATAACAATTTGGCAATGTTTTTTTTTTCTGGATATAAACCGGGCATGATAACATTATCTAGTCTAGTCTATGTAGAAAAACAGGTTTAAATAAGTGAGAGACTATAAAATGTATTGAGAATGAAGAAAAACGAACTGTGGACACATTTTTTTGTATAAGGCCAATTCCTATATGTGTATACACTTTAGCTAAATAAATAAATAAAACATCTGACCATATGCGTGGTCATGCTTAGAGGTAGTTAGAAATGGCACAATTATCTATATACCTGAACTATTGTATCTACAGCTTAGAAGTTGTAAGGTGCTAAATAATAGCAAACTATAATGGCATGTGCTACCTCAATGTTCAGCCCAGCTTTGCTTAGGGTCCTTTTATAGCAGTTTCGTGTCAGCCTATCTGCACACAGGCAAGATAACAATGCATGCAATGCGAATATTATGTATACATTATATGCCATAGCAGAACCTTCATAAAATCAAAGCCAGAGATGCATTTATTGCAACCAATAGAATCTTTCAGTAGAATCTTTTCGTGTGTGTGTGTGCTGCTATTTATCTGTCATCCATCCATCATTAGTGTCCATCTGTCCTGACAAAGCTGTGAGTAATGGACTGATAGAGTGATGACACCTCTGGTACACCATTGTCCTATGTTGAGTAGGCCACCTTTCCTAGGTACAGCCCTGTCTGTCTGTCATCAGATGTCTCTAGTTGTCTATGTTGCAGGGCACTGCAACTTTAACCCTTTTGTGCACTGTCGGTGTAGAGAATAGGTTAACAGGGTATATAGACATGCAGTTGGGAAGTGAAGAAAAAACGCCATTTGGCTGGGAGCAGATGGCTGGCTAGGGGGCTGATCGCGTCTAAAGGCGTGTCATCCCCTTCAGCTCCAATCTCCAAAGGGGCTCCCCTTGTCTTCACAATCAATGAAAATTAAAGTGCAAAGAATAGATGAATAGCCACAACCCGAGTCCCTCCTTTGTTCGCCCCGGCTACTGGTGGGCAGGAGTTAAACTACAACAGCCTTCTATAGAAACCTTTAAGTTAAACAGTCTCCCAGTTAGCTACAGCTTCTGAAAGGAGAGAAAATGAAAAATAAGGGAACGAAAAGGAGGGCTGGGGTGGATGGTGGGGGTTCAAGATATAGAGGAGAAGCTGGAAGGAGGAGGAGAAAGGAGTAAAGAGTGAAGAAATAAAAAGGCTTTCTGCTTGATTTCCCCAATACAGAATCGCGTGGCATAAATTAAGTTACCGGTGAATACATGCAGTGGGGGAGACTCTGATGGATTTTATGCTGCCATTCAGATACGCTTTGCAGAAGCAATTGAAAAATCTGTGTCGCGTCAATTTAACAAATATTTTTTACTGAGGGGTTGTTAAGAATGTGGTGCAAGTTTACTCATTTATTTATTTAGGTTTGCTTAAGAAAGTTTTAACTCCTTGCCTGTGAACATTTTTAATCCTTGTTTTTAATAAACCTCTCATGATTTGCATTTTACTTCTTTTGACCCTATTATTCTCAGCACTGGGAGTTTACTTTTTTTTCTTTTCTTCATTTTTCCATTTAGATTACATCACCCAGTTCTTGGAGTCACATGACTACAACACACTGAATTTACTAAAGTTTGTTCCCCCCCAAGGAACAATACCAGGCATGTCCTCTAGTTAGCTGTTTAAAGTGTGACAGTATTTACTCTAGAGTTGGCCAATGATGTTACATTGTAGGTAACATTGTAATTTGACACTGCATATATTCACAGTAAATAATAATAATTATTATTATTTAATTTGCTACAATGTAGAGGCTTCCAATCCTTTTTTAATAAATTAAACGTTATTCGTAATAATGATTAGTGAAATTAAACAAAACACGTGTGAGTCAAATGACAGAATTTCCCTATGAATTATAGCAAATCCTTTACATTTTAGTAGGCAGACCAGGTAAAGATTGCAGAATACAGCTCTCAACACCCTCAACCACCAAGTTGTTGAAGGGAGTTACTAGCCCAACAGGTGGAGAGTCAGACTTGTTTTGGTATCTTGAACTACTGTTGGTGGTTTGCCAGATAATGGAAATATATGAACAGGGATATCCTGAAATAATGTATTAATTAGCATTACTTGTAAATGTCCCTATAACGTGCTTAGGATTTCCCTCCTATTGGCACTCTGAAAGGCAATTTGTGAACAAGACCAACAATAAAAGTCAAATTGTGCTAGGGAAACGCACGTTTGAACCCTATAAATGAGTGGCAAGAATGTTTCTTTATGTAGCATATTTTTTTACGGAAGACCATTTTCCTACCCCCACATGCCTTTTGTGAATTGATATGAATGATTGTTGCAATTAAAGTGATACTACACAACAACCAAGCCCACACCTGGCATACTAATAATAAGCTCCCTTTATATACTATATGACCTTACTTTTCCTAGTGCCAAAATTGATATAGTGCCAGTCCCTCTTAACCCCCCCCCCCCCCCCCATTGGGCAATACTTAACCATTGGATACCCAAGGTTCTAGCAAAACTATTTCCCTTAGCAACCATGGACCTATCTAATCCTTACCCTAACATAATAAAAGCCCATAATAAAGTATTTATGTTGTTACATTGAAAAGTGTGCAAATTTGATATTAGGTGCATTGGAAAAGTCTATTTCCTATTTTCTAACAGGGACGGTTTTCTTTGATAGAGGGAGGGAAAAAAAACGTGTGCAAATTGTTGCAGAGGCTCCATCTTGCGCCAAGGGGAGCTCTTTCTCTCCCTTGCATTGTGCAGGAGAGCAGGTGCTGGCTGCATTACCATACAGCTGAGAGCACAAAGGGCCAACTCATTCATCCCTCGCACAATAACAAACTGCCTTAATGACAGCCACGCGAACGACACACACCAAACTCACTTCTTCTAAACAGGGGCTGAGGAGGAAAGGGAGGAAGAGAAGAGGGAGAAAGGATAGAAGGCGCATTAAGGAGACAGTGAAAACAAGAATAGGGGACAAGTTAAACATCATCATTGATTACCAGACTTTGTACAGTAGGGAAATGTTAAAAAATGAAAAAAAAAAGATAAATGAGAGATTTCATATCACAGAGTAGTAGTAGTAGTAGTCAGCCTACACACCTATCGAGCCCAGCTTGAAGTTCTAATTAAGACAAACATTTGGAACAAGCATTTAAATTATATATAGAGCATTAAAACAGGCGGATGCAGGGTTCCTTTGCTATGGATGAACAGTTAGATTGCAAGCTCCTGGGCTTCAGAAATGCAGTGACTGTTACAAATCTAGGTATAACTTTTTTATTTACTGGAATATAAATAACTCTATACTCTATCTATCTATCTATCTATCTATCTATCTATCTATCTATCTATCGTATAATTATATACATGTATAGTGGTCACATGTTTATTCTGACTGCATTGCTGTCACTTGATGGACATGAGGCTACATTCGGTATCAATAGTCTGTATAGTTACAGTCAACATGTACATCGATCAATAATCCTCTAGACTCGAGTCTAAACTGCATGTGATGTCAGGTAAATAACCAAAAAAGAGTTGAGGCTGTCTGTGAAGCACAGGTCCACTGTGCACCTTGATAACTCTAAGCACACTATGGTTAGCAGAATGTATGGAGCAGTGACCAATGCAGCAATAACACGCAGGATACCATCTTATGTTACAACAAATATGTTTGGCTTATTGGGATTTCATCACAGGTGCAATTGCATGTGTCTTGGTGGGCGCGTGTATTTCCCCCTTTTTATTTGGTGATTATTTTTCAGACTGAGATAGGAGTGAGGTTGAATTGGGGAAAATGATAGATAGAAACACAACTCCCTCCCAATCTATTCGTAAAGGAACATACGTTACTTTTTTTTTTTTTTAAGAAACAATTCCAAGAATGTAAACTAGTGTTTTTTGTGTTTGCAGTATAGAGATCACGGGAAACAAGCGAGGGGAGGGGGCTAAAGAAGGGAGGATTGCACATTTTACAGCTCACTGACCATTTGGCGATCCATTGAGAGGAGGGTTTTAAAAGAGGCTCCTTTGTGCCATCTCTGGACAGATTGGGGGTCTATTCATTTGCATCTCATTAGCTATGCAGGCGGCAGGCTCCATATAAAGAGGCAATACCCTCCTAATGCTTTAATTTGCTTTTTCTGTTTGTGGGACATCAAGCCAAGAGACAGACCTGAGAAGACTCTTAACCAACTGGAATTAAACACTGGGACTTGGAACACTTACTATCAAGGAAGACATTTTTATTCTTCACGTTTATTTGGATTTTTATATGATTTTAAAAAACAAAAACAAAACTGATTCTCTATTCACTATGGGCCTGAAGATGAAGTAAAGGTGGATTAGAAAATCATTCTACGATTTAAGTCTTTACCTTAACTCCAGTCTCCACCTTTCTTGCTATTCATAATATCTGTCACTCGATCAAAGGGCGTATCTATATATATAAAAAACAGATTTGAAAAGGGAAAGCCCAGATCTGAGACTAGCAGTGTATGCTAGGACAAGCCTCTGGCACCCGGATTGCATGATACAGTCTGCTGGAACAGCCTTCTGACACCCTTAGCAGCTCTGCCAGGCTACTAACCAGTCAGCATGGGACGCCAATCCACACTGAGCCTCATCATTCTCTGTGCCCTGCTTCACCAGGTAAGGCTGCCTCTGCTATTACTAGCACCGCTCATACTGTTAGTCAATGGATATGAAGCAGTGCTGCGGTCTATGGGGAAAGAACCTGCTACCTGCGGCTTCTAATTCGATTGGAATGGATTCTACTGAGTGTTCTACCTCATGTCACATTTAGTCTGTATACATTATGCGTGCATACATTCACAGTAGCTAAACACACATGCACACTGCTTATATATATATGTATTTTTAAGGCATTCTTTAGCGGACATGCATATATATGTGTGTGGGTGTATTGACCCACCGTTGATTTGCGCTATATCTTGACATGTGGGATGTTTTATTCCATGTAGATCTCTTGCTCTGGACTCTTCGAGTTGAAGTTGCAGGAGTTTATCAATAAAAAAGGTCTGCTTGGGAACAAGAACTGCTGCCCAACTGGGACGTCCGGACTGTCCAGCTCCCAGGGGCTGCAACAGTGCGAGTGCAAGACCTTCTTCCGGATTTGTCTAAAACACTACCAGACCAGCGTGTCCCCGGAACCGCCGTGTACCTACGGCAATGCTATCACCCCAGTGCTGGGGTCCAATTCCTTCAATGTTCCCGACAGCAGCAGCTCGGATCCATCATTCACTAACCCTATTCGATTCCCTTTCGGATTCACCTGGCCTGTGAGTGATCACTTTGCAATGCTTTTACAGAGGGATATGTATTTATATATGTATTTTCTGGGCTATGTCAGACCTTTTTGTTTATTGCTAGCTTACATATACACAATTATGTTTACTAGTGCTGGCTGTAAAACGCTCAATGTGTTTCTTTGCCCAAGAGAAACTGGCTGTCAAGAGTTATAGAATTCTAATGGGATACATTTTTACAAGAAGCTGTGCAACTGCGTGGTTGTATGCTATTATGTGCTACTTAGGTGAGCAGTGCCTCTAAAAGTGATAAGTGTATTATTTGTTGAGGTGGGTGAAGACAGCAGAGTCTGGCGGCTGGTGATCATGCTAGAGTATACAGATAACAGTAGCTGATAAAACAAAAAATCTGTCTGCAGGGTGGGATAAGATTACTGGAGGTGAAATAAACTCCTGGATGAAAGAAGTGGTGGCAAATCAGATAAAGGCTGATGGCCTCAGGGGAGGGTTACTTTATGTGGTTGGGAGAAGGGAGGGGGTTACAGCTGTCTATACCCTAAGGTGATGTTTAGTAAGCAAAGCTCAAAGATATCCGAATGAAAAGCCGAGATTTGTATGGGAAGGGCGAATATATGGAGAAAACAAGTATTTTTTAGTAGTTGTTTTTTGTTTGTTTTTTAACATCTCAAAACGGAACAAGTGTTACGGTGTGGGAATCGTCACTGCTACTTTTCTTTCCCTCTTGTCTTTGGACCTGGTAGTATAATTGTCAGCACAGCGTGAAATTCCCTAAAGGATTCATTTTACAGCTATCCTCAATGTGTGAAACTGGGGAAATTAAGCGTGAACATTAATGACAACAGGTCTGCCAGACTTTCTGATCATTTTTGTTCTTAAATAAAAAATAAAAATAAAAAAAAATTAAAAAAACCCTTTCAATTCATATAGCAGACAAAGGGTTAATGCAAGAACATACAAATATATAAATTTTTTACCTCCCAAAAAATAATTATCCAACAATGAATTGCTGGCTATAGACACTTCATATGTGTATTTCAGTAGCAAATCAAGAGTTAAAATATGCTGAATAATAAAACAAACAAACTAAAATGCAGATACCAGGAAATAACTTATAAAGTCCACCCATTTCCGTAGGAAAAGTGAATACATTTAGCCAGCAAAAGGTACTGACAGAGCCTCCTCTAGCCAGGGAGTAGACTCCACTGTGTGATTTATCTAAATCTCTGATCATTTTGTAAGTTTGCTAGCTATACTTTTGTGAGAATTTGCGGATTGTTTTAAATCTTCCCTTCCTTTTTTTTTGCGCAGGGTACATTTTCTCTTATCATTGAAGCACTACATACAGATTCTTCAGATGACCTCAGTACAGGTAAGAATATATAAACTGTCTGAGCGATTTTATATCTTGAGTGATAGACTTGGATTGTTTATAACTCTATTATAAACTTCATTTTCTGACTAGTTTTGTTAATTTCCTGAGACAATGAAGCCTTTCACTGCAAGATGTGAAATGGAGACACTGCACCAAATGTTTATCAAAGCACAGTTACAAAACCCTCCATGATTACATGTGAGGCCCTACAATGAGGTGAGAAGGATTTAACACCTTTCTTGAAGCTTTGATCTGTTTGGTGGAGTGAAAACCATGAATGATTTTGCCAGTGATGTGTAAATTGTTTAACTCACAGTTACATAGCATGTAATTGGTGTATTAATCCAAGTGTGATATAATAATAAATGATGCTTCAAATGCTATGTTATATTTAAACTGTAAAATCATATCTATAAGTATATCACAAAACATGAATAACCAAATGTCCTTTGCCATTTGCGCATCCACTGCAATTAATCCTGTTTTTGTTCTTTTTACAGAGAACCTAGATCGTCTGATCAGTCGTCTCACCACCCAGAGGCACTTGACTGTGGGTGAAGAATGGTCTCAGGATTTGCACAGTAGTGGCCGAACCGAGCTCAAGTACTCATACCGCTTTGTGTGTGATGAACACTACTATGGAGAAGGTTGCTCTGACTACTGTCGTCCCAGGGATGATGCTTTTGGTCACTTTTCTTGTGGTGAAAAGGGAGAAAAAGTCTGTAACCCAGGATGGAAAGGACAGTACTGCACTGAACGTAAGTCCTGTGACACTAAAAGTAAACATGCTGTAATTGTGCTAGTTCAATGTAAAAGAAAACCTGCCTCTTCTTAAACAGCAGTGTTTTTGTAGAAACCCAATATAAGGAAGCAGAAAATTTCCTGTGTTTCATTGCTTGTTTTCACACTGATCTGGTTTATAGATGTAGCATTCAAACTCTTACATCTTATATACATGTTTATTTCATAGGTATACTCATTACTCACAGTCACTTCTTTATTGTTCTGTGTACCATTTGTGCACCCAGTGTCACATTGCTGTGTAAATTATGCACTGCCTGCTTAAAAAGCTTGTCTTAAGCAAGGGAAGTAGGAAGACCTCCTCCCCCTTCCCCCACTGTTCTTTGTGAGTCTGGTGCCCCTCATTCTTCTGGGAACTTTGGACCATTTATTTGAATGATAATAATAATGAAAAGTTTGAAGAGAAATCACACGCGTGCCATAGATTAGATCTTTACTGTGATTGGAAGGAGAGGGAGCACCCCTGTCTCTGACTGGCTAAAGGGAGTGAGGTATTGTTGCAGAAGGGCAGCTGCTGAGAGAGAATAGACAATAGAGCAGCTGTCCTGTACTGGCACCCTGCACACCAGCTGTCCACTCTTATCTGCACACACTCCCTGGGATATAAGGGGTGGAACCGTGTGTATAGAATTAGAGAAAAAAAGGACTTCTGACCCTCAGTGGGAAAAAAGTGTGTTTAAAGGGGGAGGGGAAATGAGGATTGTGAGCTCTCTTTTGTCTGTGTGTAAATTTATTAAAGAGAATGCTTGTTTGCGAGTGACCAATAAAGTAGCCAGTTATCACACAGGATCAGTAACTCAACAGTATGTGGAGATTATCTGATTTGTTATTAACACTGCTGAACAACATCATTATGTTTTGTGCTGCTAGTGACAGATTTTGGTGTTTATATTGTGTTTTTTTGTTTGTTTTTTTACAGCCATTTGTTTACCTGGATGTGATGAACATCATGGATATTGTGATAAACCTGGGGAATGCAAGTAAGTTTCTATTTAGCTAAACATTTTCTTCTTTTTCTTTCTCTCTCTCTCTCTCGCTCTCTCTCTCTCTTTTGACACACTGGTAACTGATATGTAACTGTATCTATGTTGTTTTTTCTGTCCAGATGCAGAGTTGGTTGGCAAGGTCGCTACTGTGATGAATGCATTCGCTACCCGGGATGTCTGCATGGGACCTGTCAGCAGCCCTGGCAATGCAACTGCCAGGAAGGTTGGGGCGGCCTTTTCTGCAACCAAGGTGAGCTTGCATTTTTTACAGGCAATACGCAGCATGTGTAAATCACCATTTCTTAAATTATGGAAACTGTGAGTTTGAAAGAATACCATGAAGCACATTTTAATATTTCAATTTTCTTCCTACAGATCTTAATTACTGCACTCACCACAAACCTTGCAAGAACGGAGCTACTTGCACCAATACTGGTCAAGGAAGCTACACTTGCTCCTGCCGTGCTGGGTACACAGGGTCCAACTGCGAGATTGAAATAAATGAATGTGATACAAACCCTTGCAAGAATGGAGGCAGCTGCACTGTAAGTATACTTGGCTTAATAGAGGCACAATTAACATATTTTGATTTATACACTAATTATGGTGTTTATATATGAAACAGCAGGCGGTAATGAGTTAAGAAACAAGCATGCAAAATATAGGCTAATATATCCACGTTAGAAAAAAAAATATATAATTCATTTAAATTGGAGGGTTTTTCAACTATGCCTTTTTTTTTTTACATTTTTCATCTTGCAAGCGAAATATCATCACACCATGAGGCACTTTTTTGTGTAAATAGTTCCCACTGCTGAACCTTTTTTGCACATTTACATATATGTGTTTCAAAGCACAACCCAGAAAACTGAGAATTACCTGATCTGACATCTGCATTTTTCTTTTCATGTGTTGTGATATCAAAAATATATACAGGGAACGTACATGCTTTACCTACGATTGCCTCACATGTAATACATTTAACACTGTAATATATATTTGAGAATACTGCCTAGAATATTGATAAACTTATGTTAAGTGGTCAACAACTTAAAAGCAGTAATCTATATGAAACAATTGTAGAAATCACATTTCACTTAAATGCAAGGGTTATTTCAGCTTATCTGGTGATTAATGTATAAGCAGGGTTAATAAGTATCCAGATTAGTTTTTTTCTGCTGTGTTAAACCCATGTCACAACTTCTTCCCCTTTGTTTTGACAGGACTTGGAGAATAGTTATTCATGTTCCTGCCCACCAGGTTTCTATGGTAAAAACTGTGAGCTCAGTGCCATGACCTGTGCGGATGGACCATGCTTTAATGGTGGGAGGTGCACTGATAATCCAGATGGTGGATACAGCTGCCTTTGCCCAGTGGGATACTCTGGATTCAACTGTGAGAAGAAAATTGACTACTGCAGCTCTAACCCATGTGTAAATGGTAAGTTAAGACCACAGTTTAATTGGCTGCACCATCCATCCAATCTAACAGTAATATAAAATATACTCTATAAATTCTCACACCTTCATTTAAAAAGTTCAAGAATTGTCTGGCAAAATCGTAACCAGACAAAGTCAACCACTATGGGGAGATTTATCGAATTGTTCTGTTCTAAAAAGTGGTGCAAAAATGTAAAAGGAGAGTAGTCACCTATGCAACGTGCCTGCTGGTTCCACAGTGATTGCCCCACTTTTAGTACTTTAGAACAGAACACTTTGATAAATCTCCTCCAGTGACTCTTTCTTTCTGTGAGCAAAAGGTGACATGTAAGCAAGTTTATGATTTAATGTATAACATGCAGTCAATTTAGATAAATGTGCATTTATTAACCTTTTTGTTACTTGGCTGTGTTACAGGTGCTCGCTGTGAAGATCTTGGAAATTCCTATATATGTCAGTGCCAGGAGGGTTTCTCTGGGAAGCACTGTGATGATAACTTGGATGACTGTGCGTTGTTTCCATGCCAGAATGGTGGAACATGCCAAGATGGGATTAATGACTACTCTTGCACCTGCCCTCCTGGGTACACTGGAAAGAACTGCAGTATGCCAGTAAGCAAATGTGAGCACAATCCATGCCATAATGGGGCAACATGTCATGAGAGGAATAACCGATATGCCTGTGAGTGTGCTCGAGGCTATGGGGGTCTTAATTGTCAGTTCTTACTCCCTGAGCAGACCCAGGAGAGTACTGCTGTTGTTGACTTCACCGAAAGGTATACAGATGGACAGAATGGACAGTTTCCATGGATTGCAGTGTGTGCTGGCATTATCTTGGTGCTGATGCTACTGCTAGGCTGTGCTGCTGTGATTGTCTGTGTGCGAATTAAGGCACAGAAGAGACGCCAGAGTCCTGGTACTTGTCATGGAGAGGCAAAGACTATGAATAACTTGGCAAACTGTCAGAGAGAGAAAGATATTTCTGTGAGCATCATTGGCACTAGCCAGATTAAAAACACTAATAAGAAAGTGGACTTTCTCAGTGAAAGCAATACTGACAAAAATGGTTACAAGACCAGGTACTCTACTGTGGATTACAATTTGGTTCATGAGCTGAAACATGAAGAATCTTCAAAGGAGGATCGTAGGAAATGTGAGGCCAAGTGCGTCTCAAGCGACTCCGATGCAGAAGACCCACCCTCAGTACATTTAAAAAGGTATGCTTACTGATTTTTAAATCTTTTATTCTTAAGTATTATGTATTCTTTCTGATATGTCTGCAACAATAACTTTGTACTAACTTTTTAAAATGTATTACTCTTAGTGATTCATCAGAAAGAAGGCGAGCAGATTCTGTCTACTCCACATCAAAAGACACAAAATATCAGTCGGTATATGTCATATCAGATGAAAAAGATGAATGCATCATTGCAACTGAGGTTAGTATCCACTAAATTGTTTCACTTTTCGAAAACTATTATTAAAAATTGACATTCACAAATGAATAGGATATGCCACAGCGTTTTCATCAAGAGACATATAGAGCATCATAAAACACAAGAGAATTTCATACTTTAACTGAACTGGAAATTTTGCTACTTGTCTGCTTTCCAGCTCATCTATTTTGTTTGAAAATGTGTAATAAATTAGATTTGCAACAAAAACTTGCTAGTTTGGGTGTCTTTTGCTTGTTACATTTCAGTTTGTCACCCAGTCCAAAAAACATGATGTTGCATTTATTTTATTGTAATAATATATTTATGGTAATATGTCAGTTCTGTTTAAAATTTGTTCAGTAGTTCGTCTTTCATATGCTAAAAAGTGAGAAAATGACCTATTATTTTCCATGTAAGACATTTTTTAAAATAACGCATAAATAAACATAAATGGAAATTAGATTTTTATAAATAGAATACAGACACCATTATACACATTTTCGTTCTAATCACACCAGAAGCAAACATATGTCCAATGACTTCTAGGAATCTAACATTTGTCGGAGATTGCAATGTTTAGTATAGGCAAAGCATTTTATTAAGCAAATGTGCTTTAAAAGCTCCTTAATAATTGTCTAATATACTCTTTCTCTTTCTTTTTACAGGTGTAATATGGATGCTGTACAACCCAAGGTCTTGTCAGATATTCAGAGTTGAAGCCCATGTGAATGCTGCTGATGAAAGAGAAGAGGGACATCCCTTTGTTGACTGCTGCTGAGACACTAAATTCAGTCTGAGCTGGTTCTCTACTGAAATTAGCAAAATTACTACAAAACAAAATGGACACCCCAAGCTAGTCTCTGTGTCCAGACACAAACTGTTGCACTGCCATTTCTGTACTTCTCCATTGCACTATGGACGGTTGCTTTTTTAATTAATATACATATATATATGTATAAATATATATTTAATGAATGGACTTCTACGTTCTGCCGAAGAGTGCACTGCCTGAGTTGTATATTTTGGATTCATTTGAGCCACTTCGTTGCTAAACTTCAGACAGACACTGCCTTCATGTGTATTTTGATACTGAAAGATGTTTTCTACTAGGTCAAAAAATGTATGCTATTTTTTGAACTTGTAAAACTATTTTTACGATATTTGTAAAGCTTGAGTATTTGTGATGTTCATTTTCTTAATTTAAACTTTGGTAAATATGTACAAAGGCACTTCGGGTCTATGTGACTATATTTTTTTGTATATATATGTATTTATGGAATATTGTGCAAATGGTAATTGATTTTTTTCTACTGGTTTTTGTTAATGAAGGAATTCATTTTTAAACTATTTTTCCAAAATAAATACTACAAATGATGTTTCGGATTTCTTGCTTACTTTGTTGGTTATATTAAGTTTGTTAATTTTGCTTATTATTTGTGGAGTAAAACGAGCATGAATTACTGAAATGGGAAAAACTAGCTCCCATAAAGTGCTTTTGGTTTTTGGTATATTGGATTATACTCTAGCCTACAGAATACACTCTTCTATCCAGCATTTCAGGTAGTTTGTCATTTTCCAATTCCGTGAAGCATAGATCCATGCATAATAGAATATCCGGTGAGATATCTCAGTTGGCTAATGCATCATCAATATAATCTGTTCAAATCTTGGGTTGCAGGTTCAAATCCCGGCAGGGTTGACTCAGTCCTTCATCCTTCCAAGGTAGAGAAAATGAGTACCATTAATTTGGGTAATGGTAACAATCCCTGGATGTTGGTCTAAGGTAACACCCCCAGGACGTACTTGAAAACCAGAGTAATCTGAATGTACCTTTCCTGGTTAAATACTTTGCTATTATTATATTGAAACTACTTTAAATAACAATGTCATCTAACACAATATTAGCAAGGGACAGAGGCTCTATAAAGCAATACTTTAGAACTCTACCTTGGGGAATTTACAACCTGATTATTTTGAATTGGATTTCAAATAGGTCCGATTTAACTTACTACTGTTAAAGGAACATGCTAAGCAAAATAATTACTACAGCTACAATGTAATGGTAATGCATAATGCTGCCAAGAGTCTATGGGCACCATCCCCTATTTTTTTTCTGAGAATTTGGGAGCAGTTTAACAAAAACAAGTCTCTTTAGGGCACCCAGGGATGACCCTCTCTTCAGCTGATTTAATAATGTGAAATTTCTACTTTCATAGTATTAATAACAATTCTCTTGGATACCATTGAGACTGCTCAGGTGGATTAACCAAGAGTCTACTTTTCATAGAGTGTTGGTGGATTTACCACTTGTTTGGGCTGCAGTGGTTAGATTGTTTAGAGCACCCTTTTAAATTCCCACGTTTGTCACAAATGTCCTTTTATGTAATAATACTGCATGCTTCTGGTTCCCTTTTAGAGTCATGCTATAGGACATTAAAAAGAATGGTGGAGGAGCTGGCCCTACGTTATTAAGAGAAACCAAACAGGATGACTATCAATACAATTGCGATCAGTTTTTAATTTTTTTTTTAATTTGACAATTTTTATTATTTTCTTTCATTTCCAAGACTTGGAGGGTGTTACAGAAATGAAAATGGGGGATAGGGGTAGACATCAGGGGGTTACAGCAGGTTTTTTACCATGGACACATACATGACTCATTGAAACTAGTACAGTACAACAGGTGTTAAACATCAGGCATTAAACACTCAAGATTAACAAATAATAAACATAGAGTATGCTCAACGAGTACTCTACACTTCAAGTGAATTGCAGCAAGTACTCTCATACTGTACTCATTATGTGGTCTCGTACAGGCCAGACCTTGCGTGGTGTTGGCTCTGTGGTCTGGTGCAGTCACCCCATGCTCCGATGTCAGGGTTTCCCCCCTGTTAATATATTTGTGGTGTTTGTGTATCTGTGGTGGATTCTATAAAGTGGGGCACACTTTGGCACTGGAAAGTCTGGCCAAGCAGAGAGAGATCATTGAGGTGAGGAGGCATTGTGATCATTTGGGAGGGAGGGTGATGGGGGTTTGGGGCGGGGGAAATCGATCATAGTTTTAAGTATATTGCCTCCTTCTTAAAACAACCTTTCCTATTTCCACTGCCTGCTTGTGTTTTGTCCTTAGTGTATCATCTTCAGTATTTTGTTCCTTTAGTGACCATTCGTGGGATATCATGACCCACTCACTGAATGAAAGACAGCCAGAGTATTATATTACTAATTAGAGGAATGCATTTCAGTAGCATTTATTACTGATCTGCGTATCACTCAGTGTCATTTTATCTTTCACGAACTTAAAAACTCAGAAGAAAAAAAAAGTTGCATAATGTTTATTTTGTAGTGTAAGCTACATGCATGTAATACATTACAGAATCCTGTTATTAATGATATTGTTTAATAAAGAAGATCAAATTATGGAAACAAGACAAAAAGCTTGCAAACACAACCTTTCACTTTCTAAAATCTACAAAGCAAAAGAGAATACTCATTCACTGAATAGTTTAATACAAACATAACTTTGAAATATTATATAACTACTAGTATTTTATATTAAATGTTAAGCTGAATAGACATCTGATCTTGTTTGAAAATGATTTATTTAGTCTGGTAGAAAATGTAACCAAAAAAAAAAACGACAAACAATTATATTGAGAGCATCTAGAACATTGTATTTAATGTGAATAGATACTTCTAAACCATCAGATGCATATGACCAGCCCTAAAGGATTATGGATTGCTACATAACACCATAGTCAATACAAATTATTTTGTTTAGCAATGAATAAAAGTAAATGAAAATAAGTTTGAACATCATAATATACTAAAAGGAAATATATTAGATGTCCTAATTGAAGTTTACTAACATTTTTGCATCTTTGAAGGTGGTTATAGTTTTAAGTTCAATGTGGAAGATAGCTCACTTGGTTAGTGCACCAGCTGTAGTAAATGTTTAAATCTTAAAGTTGTAGCCATGGTTCAATGCAGCATCAAACCCGTTTTTAAATTCAATAAATTCACAATTGTTAACTTAGGTAATACATATCTATTAATCAACTGAAAATTATGTCCGAGAGTTAATGAAAACAGCGTATTGGATAAGCATGTATTGCATATGTATAAAATATACAAATCAAAGTGCTGGATAAAAAAAAGTTGTCTCTACTCATGCAATAACGTAAACATAAGAGTATATTTGAAATGAGTATAAAATACACAAGATTTGATACACAGCAACCTTTTAGAATTCAATACCATGAAATCAATTAGAAATTATCATGGACAAAAAAGCATAACAGAGAAGAAATTACCATAGTATGTTTCACACTTAGATTGTGAAAACTAATGGTAAAACGTTTCCATTCTAAATGTAAAAAATTCAGCAGTAATTTCTTGTTGAATTCATGGTATTGAATTCTAAAAAGTTGATGTATATCAAATGTTATGTATTCTGTACTCATGTCAGATATACTCTTAAGTTGATATTAGTGCATGAGTGGAGATAACTTTAAATTAATTAAGTAAATTGAACCCCTGAGGGTTAAAAAATAAATAAAAGTTAATCCTCAGGGGTTAGAAAAATTAGATCAGTGGGCAGTGTAGGCAGGGAATTATATATTTTGCTTGCTGGGGTGGGTGGGAGTTAGCAGAAATTGGGGAATTTACTGTTAGTGCTGCTTACTGCTAGTTAGGGATTAACGGTAAAAAATTTTTAAACGTGTAAAAAAAGTTAAGAAAGTTTTAAAAAGTTTAAAAGTTTTAAAAATAAAATAAGTAAAAAAAAGTAAAATAATACATTTAAAAATGCTCATTACCACTACACCTGGAACAAACTAGAGAAAAAACAATCCCACGCTAAGGTTCAAAATATGCCTTTTGAATTACCCCAGGGTGTATTCTTAAAAAAATAGTATGTGTTTGTGGGGAAGTTTCAATAACCAACCAGCTAAACTACTCCAAAATGGAACATGGATACAGCGTAAAACTTAAAAGTTAGAAAATAACGGAATGGCTGCGTCTCAAATGTGCCCCTTCAACATCCACATATACCTGGCAAAGGTAAATACGGGGGTATTGTTGCACTCAGATGACATAGCTGAGCAACATATGAAGTATTATACAGTCGTAGCACACATAAAGTTTGCACAATACATTGTGCAAACTCACATTGTGTGTCAAAAAGGCAGAAAAAAAAATAATTATCCCACGCTAAGGTTCAAAATATGCCTTTTGAAATACCCTGGGATGACTTCTTTAAGAAATGGTCTGCCTTAAAGGTGTAGTTGGAATATGCAGCCTGCTCAAGTGTTCCAAAGTGGGACATGAACGCATCAAAACCCTCCATGAAAATTCACACTTAAAAACCTGAACTTGTCACGTCTCTATTACAGCACTGTAACTTCTCAAAATAGTGTCTAGTTCATAAATTGGGTGTATTGTTTTACTTAGAAGATGCAACTGAGCATAATTTGGGGGGTGTTATGACAGTGGTACATATCAAGTGTAAGAAATACTCAGCAAAAATGCAACATATATGTAAAAATGCAATTATTTTCCCCTCACCACAAACATTGACATAAATTGGTGAAAAAATGGTGACAAGTTTAGGCACAATGTACGCCATATAAGATACCCTGGGTGTCTGCTTTATCAGATGAAAGCCCTTTGTGTTTTTTTTTTTGAACAGTCATACTGCTATAATACCCTAAAATGAGACATAGGCCCGTCAAATCCATCTACAAAAATTCTAACTATAGAAACTGAAATAGCATTGTCTCTTAATTGACATTGTAGCTTCACAGAATAGTGCCAAAAGGCATTCAATGGGGGTATCTTTATCCTCAGCAGATGTAGCTGAACACAATATGGGGTTCTGTGCAGGAATAGCACACACCAGCTTTACGAAATACACATTACAAAATCCTTGTTATATGTGTATATGCCAAATTAGAGAAAAAACACAATTTTACTCCAATATTAAGCAGAGATTGGCAATGAAATGGCTCCGTAAAAAGTGTCAAACTAACCTTAGGTAAATAGTCCGTGATGTCTACGTTATATAAATATATACTTTTTTGTGGCAATTTTTTGTTTTCTGTGATGGCTACTAAACCTACAAGACAAACATACCAACTTCTAAAATTGTTTCACATTGAAATTTTATATTAGTCCTTGTATTTTGTGACCTGTAACTTTCAAAATAAGATTAAATCATACACATATTATGTGCTCTATAAATCAAGACACATATATGAATTTATTTTGAATTACTTTTTCTAAGCTGGACATATTATGCACACAGTGTTATTGCCAAAACTTTTTTTAGTCCTCCCCCCCCCCCAATTTTTGGCATTTTTATTTTATAATTAATGAGAATTTATCTATGTATATGTGACATAAAATTAAAGCCCTGTTTGTCCTCTAACAAATGGTATATAATATGTGTTGGTGCAATAAATGACAGAGATGCAAATTGCGTTTGAACACAAACAGCAAAACATGCAAAAATGGCTTGTGTCCTTAAGGGTAAGACAAGCTTTTGAAGCTGTGTCCTTAAAGGGTTAAAGAAGTAAAATGAGGGGTGGGGGGAGAGAAGGGCAATTGGGGGTGACTAGGGGGACAATAAAATGTATTGCAGTCGGGAGGGGGGTTAAAAACAAACAAACTGATGCGGCCATGACAGTGCTGCTTTAATAATCGTGAATTTATTGACCTCAAAATACTTTTTGAGATCATCCTCTTGCTAACAACAGGTCCTAGAAACTCTTATCTTAACTTTCATAAGTACTGAAAATGTGTCTTTTTTATGACCACCATAATATGCTGTTTTTTGGTGCACACAAGACTTTTTTTTTTTTAAACCAGCTTATATCACTGAATGCTGCTAAAAACAAATGCAGAGAAATAAGTGGTCATTCATACTCACTGAGGGGAGGAATTGTGAAATGTGCATGTTTGTTACTTGTTATTCTAAAAGCATTATAATGAATTTTTATTTCAGTAATGCAACTTAAAAGGGGAAACTAATATATGAGATAGACGCATTACATGCAAAGCAAGATAATTCAAGCTGTGGTTTGTCATATGTGCGATGATTATGGTTTACAGCTCATGAAAACCCCAAATCCACAATCTCAGTAAATTAGAATATTGTGAAAATATTCTAGGCTCACAGTGTCCCACTCTAATCAGCTAAGTAAGCCATAACACCTGCAAAGGGTTTCTGAGTCTTTAAATGGTCTCTCAGTCTGGTTCAGTAGGAATCACAATCATGGGGAAGACTGCCGACCTGACAGTTGTGCAGAAAACCATCATTGACACCCTCCATAAGGAGGGAAAGCCTCAAAGGGTAATTGCGAAGGAAGTTGGATGTTCCCAAAGTGCTGTATCAAAGCACATTAATAGAAAGTTATGTGGAAGGGAAAAGTGTGGAAGAAAAAGGTGCACAAGCAGCAGAGATGACTGCAGCCTGGAGAGGATTGTCAGAAAAAGGCCATTCAAATGTGTTGGGGACTTTCACAAGGAGTGAACTGAGGCTGGAGTCAGTGCATCAAGAGCCACCACACACAGACGGATCCTAGACATGGGCTTCAGATGTCGTATTCCTCGTCAAGCCGCTCCTGAACAACAAACAACGTCAGAAGTGTCTTACCTGGGCTAAAGAAAAACAGACCTGGTCTGTTGCTCAGTGGTCCAAATTCCTCTTTTCTGATGAGAGCAACTTTTGCATCTCATTTGGAAACCAAGGACCCAGAGTCTGGAGGAAGAATGGAGAGGCACACACTACAAGATGCTTGAAGTCCAGTGTGAAGTTTCCACAGTCTGTGTTGATTTGGGGAGCCATGTCATCTGCAGGTGTTGGTCCACTGTGCTTCATTAAGTCCAGGGTCAACGCAGCCGTCTACCAGGAGATTTTAGAGCACTTCGTGCTTCCTTCCGCAGATGAGCTTTATGGGAATGCTGACTTCATTTTCCAGCAGGACTTGGCACCTGCCCACACTGCCAAAATTGGGATTACTGTGCTTGATTGGCCAGCAAACTCGCCTGACCTGAACCCAATAGAGAATCTATGGGGCATTGCCAAGAGAAAGATGAGAGACATAAGACCGAACAATGCAGAAGAGCTGAAGCTGCTATTGAAGCATCCTGGTCTTCCATAACACCTCAGCAGTGCCACAGGCTGATAGCTTCCATGCCACACTGCATTGAGGCAGTAATTGCTGCAAAAGGGGCTCAAACCTTGTACTGAGTCCATATGCATGCTTATACTTTTCAGAGGTCTGATATTGTTCTATGTACACTCCTTGTTTTATGGATTGCATGTAATATTCTAATTTACTGAGATTGTGGATTTGGGGTTTTCATGAGCTGTAAGCCATAATCATTGCACTTATGACAAATCACGGCTTGAACTATCGTGCTTTGCATGTAATGCGTCTATCTCATATATTAGTTTCCCCTTTTACGTTGCATTACTGAAATAAATTAACTTTTGCACGATATTCTAATTTTTAGAGTATCACCTGTATGTCTGACATTGTTCTCAGGAGGCATAGTTCCATTTATCTGTAGGACCAATGATTATCCCACATTAGAGGTAACTGTCTCATAGAGAACAGTGATAACCATAATACCTTTGAAATTCAGTTTCAATCAAACTCCACAGAGGAGATTTATCAGAGTATTTATTGATTGCCAGTGGAACACTTTTCCATTTTTCCTCCAATAACTTTTAATAAATAACTGAAACCTAGAAACTAAAAACAGGCTTTAATAAAAACAGGAGATGAATCATATGGGCATAACATTTACAGTATGTGACGGTAAAGGTAGTTTTTGGACATCCAAGGTACTTTAATTAGTAAAGAGTTCATTCTGGTGTTTACTCCGTGGCACAATGAGGAAGTAGAGTGGTGGAAAATACTCATTAGAGTGGTTAGTGATAGCAAACAAAAAGCCCTTACTTTAGTCACAACTTGCAGCAGAGTCAATTTTTTTTCTGTGCAAAGGACGTGTCCAATGCATTTTGTGTTCTTTATACAGAAACAAGGAACAAGGCTGCGCCAGGGAATAATTAAAATAAGTCCATATAAAACAATAAAAAATCAAAGTAGGAGAGTCCCAATAGAAAATGGTATTTCGACTGTTATGATGTCTTCCTTAGTAGTGGTCGTCCGTCTCACGATATGAAAGACACAATGGGAGAGAGCCAATAGTGTAGAGTGTATAAGTAGATAATATATAAATATTAATATATTGTACTAATAAATAATTTTACAATTATTATTACTTTTATACTTCATTTATCGTTCCTGGCATATCCTAAGGTGGGGATTATACCACCCACGCGAATTACAAAGTGCAGAGTATCCTGCACTTTACTTGTGAGTATATTTTATTTATTTTTATTCCTTTTTTACGTTACTATACCAGAGAGCACTATCTGCTGTTTTTATTTCTTTCCCTGAGAATTTGGACACAAAGACGCTCCAGGAGGACAAGTACCCCTATAAGCGGAGGGTTATCCGCCGTATGCCCATCATACTAGAGCTAGTCCTAGCTCATGGAAATGTGAGTGTGTAATCTATATTTTATTTATATATTATCTACTTATACACTCTACACTATTGGCTCTCTCCCATTGTGTCTTTCATATCGTGAGACGGACGACCACTACTAAGGAAGACATCATAACAGTCGAAATACCATTTTCTATTGGGACTCTCCTACTTTGATTTTTTATTGTTTTATATGGACTTATTTTAATTATTCCCTGGCGCAGCCTTGTTCCTTGTTTCTGTATATATTCTTATTGTAGAGGGTTAGAGGGTGACCCTCTAGAAGGCCGCTGCCTTTATACCTAATTTCATTTTTTACACAAGTTATTATTAGCGCTAACCTTTTTCCGTTTCTCTTCTGTATTTTGTGTTCTTTGCCTAATGCTATTCTTCCATAGTGTTTAGTTAACTGCCTTGACTTTTGTATAGAATACATGATGTAAGAATGAGTTGTGATGACTTATTACAGTACATACTGCACCTGCAGACGTTTTTGGCAAATCTGCCAGCTTTTCAGGTGAAAACAGATATACTTGTGAAGAAAATGTTAGAGTTAACCTGGATGCTGAAAATATCAGGATGGAATCAATGACCGTAAGCAAATGCTTCTTCTTAATAGGAAGCAGATATAACGATTTTCCCTGCACATTATTTTAACGTCACCTTTCTCATATCTGGTGTGAAAGAGCAAGGAATATCATGTTGGGGATGGGAAACCAGATGCTTGCAATATTTTTACAATTTTATTTAATTCTTAGCTGTTTCCCTTTTCTCTTTCCTAATTGTGCAGTACTGATGTTGATTGGCTGCACCTTGACAAATTACTTTTCAGTATTTCCTGCAACATTAGCCATTTCCAACAAAGCCACTCTCAATGTCACAGTTCTGTTCCAGCAAATTTACAGTTATGGTCACAGTCCTGTTTCTGAAAAGTCACAATATCTCAGTTCTGCCATTAATCACAGCCCTCATCCTGTCATGCCAAGAACACACACTGTGATGCCAATCATGAGTCTTGTTTCTGCCAACTTTGTACTACCCAACTCCATAGAATATAGGGACTAATCAAATATGCAAAAAAATAAATACTATCCCTATAGAGAATCTCTAAAATGAAGAGTTATGCAACTTAATATTATTAGGTCCATTCCATTGCAGAAATATATTACATAATTAATGGTCATATACCATATTTATACAAAAAGAAAAGTCCTGCGTTCACTCCCATCACTCCTGGGCGGCAGCAACGACTACAGTGCACATCAGCTAATACATATAGTAAAAACCAAAGAAAAAAGTTACCTGCGCTCTCTCCTTAGTGGCCATTGGAGTAACTAAATGACCTCCATTTGTTTAAATATACATAGGGATTAAGAAGAGAGCGCAGGTAACTTTTCTTTGGTTTTTACTAAATGTATTAGCTGATGTGCACTGTAGTCATTGCTGTCGCCCAGGAGTGAATGGAGTGAGTGCAGGACTTTTCTTTTTGTATTTTTATTCACTTTTTGTATCACACAGCTAGGTTACAATGCTGCCGCCCATCCCATGTGTTCCCTATTAAGGGTTAATAAGTATATAGGGGTGTATAGAAAAAATACCCCTGTCTCATTAGAGATGTTTTTGCCAGAAGCTCAAGGAAGCAAGGTAAAGGGTCAGAGTAGGACCCGTCTAGAGGGGGGTCTGCCTTGACGTTGGCAGGCGGGCATTCCCTCCAATGGCCATTGGAGTAACTAAATGACCTCCATTTGTTTAAATATACATAGGGATTAAGGAGAGACCGCAGGTAACTTTTTCTTTGGTTTTTACTATATATATTGGAGCTGATGTGCACTGTAGTTGTTGCTGCCACCCAGGAGTGAGGGGAGTGAGCACTGGACTTTTCTTTTTGTATTTGTATTCACTTTTTGTATCACACAGCTTGGTTACAATGCTGCCGCCCATCCCATGTGTTCCCTATTAAGGGTTAATAAGTATATAGGGGTGTATATAAGAAATACCCCTTTCTATACCATATTTAGTTCCTCACATGCTGTATGCCATGCTTCATTTGCCATCTCTTCTGCGACATCCTCATTCAAGCTAAAGCATGCCATGTAGATAAAATACCTATAGCCAGGGCCAGATTAACATGTCAGGGGCAGAATTTTAAGGCTCATGTATTTGAATGTGTGTATACAGGTGTTGCTTGTTTGAAAGTATATTAAGTGTGAATGTACTACGAATAGTGAATTGGTCTATCTTACACTCTATTCCTGTGGATGTAACTATTCTTTACTTCTTAGCCATTTGATCTCAATTGCTAAACCACAAAAATCTAATTTTCTAACATCAGCACCTGTATTTCTGTCCTGTAAATGCTTGTAAATTAAAACGGCATGTTACTTGCATCAAGCTATTGTACATCACTCTTTTTCTTTAGGTAATAGGAGCTGGTAGCTGCTCTGGGGAGAAATTATCATTGTTGTGTGTCAACTTTTACCTTTGACTAGTGCCTACTAATGAAGCCATGTATAAATGTGTTAAATCCCATGTTAAACAAAACTGAAATTACCAGGCAATTGCACAAAATGTGTTACATCAAATTTTGATGCTGATCTGGCTCTTACTAGGTCTATTTTATCATATGCTGATTTTGCATTTGGCACATTTAATTAACTACACACTACAGATGTTATGTTTCACAAACCTTTGCTGGGTTTCTCATACGCTTTCCTAGACAGAAATCACTTAATCATACTGGTGGGCAGTGTATGGAAAATACTACCACAAATTAAAAATAATTCATGTACTGGAGAGGGGAAATAAAGTCATTACTCTAGAACAGGGGTGGGCAATCTGCGACCCTCCAGATGTTTTGGACTACATCTCCCATAATGCTCTTAGGGCCATAATGCTAGCAAAGCATCAAGGGAGATGTAGTCCAAAACATCTGGAGGGCTGCAGATTGCCCACCCCTGCTCTAGAAGGATGCTAAATTCACTCCTAAGATTAAGCAATGGCTTTTCCCATAATATAGCATACTATTTCTTATTGCATTTCAGTAAATGTACCATCATCATGAAAAAGAGATATGTTTGAAAATATGGCAAGTCTGGCAACTCTGCCCCAGATCTTGATGAAAGTACAGCATTTTCCATCACTAATTGATAGGTGTGTAATTGTCTTCACATATCTGTGTGTTCTGTACTTTTGTGAAAGTTTTTGTCACTATTTCTGTGTACGTATCTGTGATTATTTCTTTGAGTTTTAAAGCAGCATTTGTCTGGCAGCATCTATATTGTTTTGCACGTGTATGTGTTTATGTCTGAGAGTATATATATATATATATATATATATATATAATATCTTTGGTTATCTAATTTGTAACAGGTCTAGTACTTCCACTGGATTCAGGATATTGTAATTCAGGTGTACACAATTCATGTGATTGAAAATGCTCTAAAGACATTGAGAATGATGATCTAAGATTCACAAAATCCAAATTAAAACTCTTACATGTTTGTTCCATACTGCAGGTATAAAATCAATCCTTTGTCCATATTTTGAATTAAGGAAAGGTCATGCATTGCAGACAAAACTTATTTCCTAAAGCACAACTTTCCTAATTTTTTTCAATTCTCATTTAAAAGTTTGTTACATTTAATGAAACGTGATGATATCTTTTTCAAAATAATGTATATTGATTTGATTAAGAAATTTTTTTTTTTTTTATCTGGGTTAGCATTCATGTTGGGTCAGACACTGCTGTTGTCTGACCATCTTCTGCTCAACCTAACTTGCCTGTTACTTCAGTTTCCTACAGAGCAACACAGCAAGGTGGATTGAGCAACAGTAGTCCAGATAAAAGTACAGACTGACTTAACACTAAGGCTAAAGCAGATAAAAAAAAAAGTCACACTTGTTATCTCCTACACTGTTAATAGCCTGCTAGACCTTGGAGGTAGCCTCCTGTGTGTGATGAAATTTCAATTTACAGAGCGTGAGATTAAAAACATCTAAAGTAAGTTAACATCAGATTGAAAATAAAACCTTTTTTTTTTTTTTATGCAGGCTGTGTCAGTCCCAGTCAGGGGAGGTGTGGCTATGGCAGCATAAACAGAAACAAAAGTGATTTAACTCCTAAATGGCAGAGAATTGAGCAGTGAGAATGCAGGGACATGATCTATACACCAAAACAGCTTCATTAAGCTAAAGTTATTTTTGTGCCTATAGTATCCCTTTAATTGTACGGAAAGCTCAATAAGGAATGTGATAGACAAGTTTGATTGTGTGTGGCTACATGATTTAAAGGAACATTATAGAGTCAGAAACAAACATGTATATAGTTAAAAACCGCTATTTAGGGTTATAGGTCTATTTAGGTGACTTGGTCCCCCTTTAGCCACTTAAAGGTTTCTGCTGGCACTGGCCCTGCCTCAATCTGCCTCCTTGCTGACATTTTCATCATTTATGATTTCAGCCAATTGGCTAAAGTCGGAAAGGAGGCAGGACAGGGGCATGGCCAAACTCTGGCTTGACCAATCAGCATAGAGAGTGCAGCACTGCCCTAGGAAGCACCTCCAGTGACCATCTGAAAAGGCAGTGTTTTCATTAAAATTCCTGCATGGAATGATTATACTCACCAGAACAACTACATTAAGCTAGATTAGAGTGTCCCTTTAAATATTTTTTTAAGTAATATTTTAATATTTTAAGTCCTTTAAGTAATATTTTGTTAGCAAATATATTTGATGTATTGACTTGTCTTTTTAAAAAAATATATTTTATTTGATTTGAGTCAGCGTGTGTGTGTGTCAGCCTGCATCAATCAGTGTGTGTTTGTATGGGTCAGTGTGTGTGTGTTTGTGTGTCAGCATGGGTCAGTCTGTGTGTGTGTCACTCTGCATGAATCAGTGAATTTGTGTGTGCATTGGTCATTGATTGTGATTGTGTGGACCACTGAGTGTGAGTGAGTGAATGAGTACGAATGTGATTGTATGTATCAGTGATTGCATTTGGGCAAGAAGGACAATTTTAATAAATGTGTTTTTAAAAAAATATCAATACTTTTTATGGAACCATAAAGTGTTAGGCATATAAACCTGTATTCCAAACACTATAGTGTCTCTGTCCCTACATAGATTTAGGCCACCCCTTTGCACTGCTTGCCTCCTTACCTCGCTCAATGTCACTGATGGGGCAACGCTGGTCCAATCCAATGTTCCTAATACAGGAGCATTGGGGACCTGATGCGCATCAGTGGCAAGTGCTATGTAATTCCAATGCTTCTAATTGTTAAACATGGCATTGTAGCGGAGGTGCCTCTAGTGGCTGTCAACGTGACAGCTACTAGAGACTTGTTTAATCGTTCAAGGTAAGGCAATGTTTTATCTTGTGGAGTTAAACATACAGGACCCCTGTGGAGCGAATGGGGGGCAACATTTTTTTTGCCTAGGGTGGTAAAAATTCTTGCACTGGCCCTGGCTCTCAATGAAGATTTATTTTCTATTATTCACTAAAGTATGTGTTCTTTGAGTGACTCCATACAGGGTGATCGAAGCACCAGATATACCCCTGTATTCCCATCACTTATTTTATTATTGTATTTATTCTCTGAAATTGTATTTGCATTCATGAGCGGGCAACAAAATGGATCTTTGCCTAGGGCGGCAGAAATCCTTGCATCAGCCCTGGGCGCAATGCGGCACTTTGCCCACATGAGCAATAGACTCCCAATGTTTTCATATTACTAATGGTTGGAATGGCTAAAATCATCATGACTGATGATCTCAGCTAAGGAGGGGGAACTAGCCACAGAGATAGCAGCACGGTGTGGGATAAAAAGCTAGTACTAGTTACAGTAGGTGAAGAAAACCTTGCCCAAATGAACTCACAATTAAAGTGTACATGTTTTAACTTTTTGCTGTGTGTTTTACAAATCATGGTCTATGGAATGCACATTGCTGGAGAAGGAAGAG